TTACCCAGCACAGTGAGATGGCATCTTGAGTACCCATTTGTTTTTTTTCTTTTATTTCAGAGCTGATATGGGGAACATGAAGGGAGACGGTGGGTTTTGAATGTTTCATGTCAGATTTTAGCTGTGCAGAACTGGCCATCAGACAGCAGCTCTGGTGGATATGCAATGCCTTATAGCCTCTGTGGTCACCCAGTGCACAGCCCAGAGCTGTGCCCTAACTAACATATCGTGGGATAGGCTGGAGGAGCAGTTGGGTGTGACTGCATTTGCAATACAAATCATAGTCTTCACTGAAATGGTTCTCCTCCCCTTGTTCTTTTATCTGTTTTTAAACCAAACTCTAACTGCGTGACTTTTTTTTTTAAATCTAATTTGCTGTCAGAATTATTGTCTTATCCTAGAAAACTGAAAAGAAAATACAGTATTTTCCCCCCTTAACTGTCAGTCTGGTCTTTCCTTAAGGAGTCTGAGGTGTTGAAGGCCTGGTGTCTCCCAGACCTGAGGGTTTAATATCACTGGTAGCTCACTTGTGCGGACTCGTGCATGTTTCAGCAGGTTCTCTTGGGTAAGGAAATACACTGGCAGGCTGTTAGGTTTCTCTGTTTCTGTACATTAGAAACAGCATCTGCAGAGTGACGTGACAGATCCACCTGCTTGTTGCTGGGCCAGCTAGGACAAGCTTTTGCTGGGCTTTGAACAAAATGTGGTCCTATAGTGACTAAGACAAGACTAGCTTCTAATTCCAACTTAAAACCCATTAAGACATGGAGTTTGCATTCCTAGAATCTGGTGATGAAGACCATGGGGTGTTTTCTTTTTTTGGAATGTAGCAGAAATCCCTTTTTCTTGCCTGGCTGAGTGGCTTTTAGTCCTTGCACTGCTGTATGGAAACTGAAGATGGTAATGCAGAATGAAGGCCCCATGTGCCAGGTGCAAGATAAGAGCTAATCCCTGCTTTGGAAAAAAAAACATCTACATAAGTAAGGCAGATGCAGCCAAGTCCCATCCCACTTTCTGAATGCAGATCTAAGCATACAGAGAGCTTAAATGATTCCCTTACTGGCATGTCCAGAGCCTCTATTCTCCTGAGATGCTCTAATACCCCAATCAACCCCTTTCCTATGTTAGAGGGATGGCTATAACCCAAAAGGATTGGCTGGGTCATGAAAACCAACTGTTCAGCCCAAGGGGAGATGTCATTGATAAAATATGAGGGTGTTGTTTTTGCAGTGGGGATCGTGCCTGAGCCGTTAATCAGGCCGTGTTAGACACGGTGCCTCAGCAGGAACAGTCTCAGCCTTGATCTTGGCCAAGAGATGGGGAAGCCAAGAGCCAGGCTGTCCTCTCATGCTTTGCCACGGGGAGCAGAAGGCACCCAACCTGCGAGCAGCCTGGACTCAGCCCTGGGTTATATTACCTGCAAATGCTCTGGTTTGCATCAGTCCTCATTTACTGCACCACCTCTGCAGAACTCCCTCTGCGTGACAATTTGATGGCTTACTGCTTATTAAAGTGTCTCCACTAATTCAAAGAGGATAAATATTTTCCTTCTGCCTCCCCTCTGCAGCAGGGTGCCTGGTCTGATCCTTTCTCTGCTACCCCCGGGGTTGCCATAAGGTTGCTTCTCCCCCAGCATGTTCCCTCCACAGGGAGGGGAGTCAGACCTGTGTTTATGGAGGCAGTGTGCTGCTCTGGCTGGTGCAGCAATTTGTTGCGTTCAGAAACTATTTTAATAACCACGAATGACTAAGCACGTTGTTTGGGACTAGTGACTCCTTTTTCCGCTCTTTCTTTGATCTATTTATTTTTAGGCTCCACTGGGTGGGGAAAAGCAGTAGAGACTGAAAGCCAGAAGACAGGAGAGAGAAACACAGGGAGCGTGGGAGGATGGGATTTACCTTTTCAAGCTGCTGCCCACCTCAGTGCTTGTGAGGCTTGGCAATCCATCAAAGACTTTCCAGGGTAGAGCAGGAGTGAGAACTGAGGTGCCTGTGGTCTTTCTCTGTTGGGAGAAGCAGGGTTGAGTCCTGCTGATGGTCTTCCAGGAAGCTAGAGCAGGATTTGAGGTGGAAGTCCCAGTTCTCACACTATGTCTTACAGTACTCCGTTGTGCTGTAGCACATGCATCTCCAACAAGGGTACAAAATTGTTTTGGGGTAGGAAACACTTTCCTGTTGTGTAGCCCTTGAAGTAGAGGGCTCTCTCACATGCATATATGACTTTAAAAACCCACATAAAATAGAAGTATACAAATAATGCATGATTTTATTTTTTTTTTCTTATCATAGAATTGGGCTTAGGTTGAAAGGGACCTCAAAGCAACAGTTTCAGTTCCACCCCCCTGCCATAGACAGGGTTGCCAATCACTGGAGCAGGTTACCCAGGGCCCCGTCCAACCCAGTCTTTAAACCCATCTTCTTCATGTCAGCATGTTCCCTCCTCTGTTGGTGCTATGCTTCCAGCACCGCCCTGCTGCCTCCTCCACATCCTTTCCGATTTCCTTCTCCCTCCTCATCCTCTCTCCTTTGCTGACGTTAGGAAGAGAGCCATACACAACTTCTGCAAGACAAACAAACAACAGGCACATCCTGGGCTGATGCAAACCTGTTGTTTGCGAGTGGAGGAGCCAGTGACGTGGGAGAACGTGAGGCACAGGTGGGGCTGTGCCCTATTCAGGCTGGTACCCGTCCCCAGCACCATGAGATGCCTCAGGGGAAAGCCATGAAGGGAATTTGGGATTCAGGAAACCTTTTGTATCATCTCTCTGGTAGACACTGGTAGTTACCCATGATGACACTGTTGTCTCTCTTAGCCACCTGGTTTGATCTTTGATGTCCCCTGCAGGCTAGGTTACACCAAATAAGCCCGTTGGCCCCTTGTATTTCCCCTTCATTGTTTGCCTTATTTCCCACTGACTATTAAAGACACTGATCTTCTATGGGACCATGTGGTTCCCTGATGATCATTTTTTTGCTGTGCAGAAGATTTGAGTTTTCACTCTGGGGCTCTGAATGTTTAACCAATACCGAGGACCTTGTAATTTGTTACCATTAGGAGGAGAATCAATGGCACAATCAGAAATTTTGTGCTACCCTGCTTATTTACAGGGCCTACATCCAGGATCCAAGCCAGGACTGCCTGTTGTGTTGGTTTTCCAGTTGGTTCCAACACACACAGCAGCACTGTGGAATTTAGGACCTCCCCAGCTCACCAAGCCTGTGGTGGTGCCCCAAGTGGGACAATGGCATATCCTAGGGCAGGCAGCAACCTGCCTGCAAAAGGTTGCATTGCTGCTCCTGGAGGAGGGATGCTCTGCAAAGTTGCAGGCTGCAAAAAGCTGCTCGAGTCAGTCATTGTTCCTTAACTCAGCACGTTGTGGGCAGGCTTAAAGCACTTAGTGAGGATTTCCCTTCCCCTGCAGGTAATGCCTGCGTAAGCTTTTATTTTACCCAGCTCTTCACAAGCCTTAGTGGCTCATCTGCAGGATTTCTCTGAGCTTTCTCTGCCGCCCTTCTGCAGCTGCCATCACAAAGCCACCTGCGCCGGGCTGGCCTGCAGGGTGACATGGTGTGTCCTCCTGAGTGACCTGTCTGTCCCTGCTGCACTCTGCCACCGCAGCACTCAGATTTGGGTTCCCACACAGCTTTCGTGGCACTTGGAGGCCCTTTTTGTAATCCTGTGCCACTGACCATGGTCGGGTCCTCCTGGCCTCATCGTGGCATCCCTACTGCCCACCCTAGAGCAGCCACACACCCTGCATTGTGCCACCCATACCATGAGTTCTGCTCAGTGCCCACAGGCACTATCACTTTTCCATCCACCCAAGGGCACAAATGGCACTGTTTGCCCCACCTCACCCCATGATTTCCTGCCACGTCTGTGGGAATAAAGTACCATAGTCCCTGTGGGTGTCGCTGGGGCAACCAGCTGGCTGCCCCCACCGGGCTGCTCCTCATTCCAGGAGGCACGAGAAGAGCAGTGAGGCCGGTCCCTTCTGCAAGAAGCACATTCGGGGCGCTGCCCATTCCCTAAGTTCCCCCCCCACCCCCCCTTTTCATTCCCCAGCTCCAGCGGCGAGGAAGAGGCAGTGCTGAGCCGGATATGCTGCGGCTCCCGCAGCCCTCCCTGTAGTGTCCCCGCCGCTCCTCCCGATGCCTTCCGAGGAGACGGATGGACGGACGGACGGGCAGCGAGAGGTGCACCGCTTTCCTAATCGCACGGCTAAGGAGGGGGGCGAGGGAGGGGGAGGCAGCCTCTTCCCACCCCCTTCCCCATCCCCTGTCCTCATCCCCTTCCTCCTCCTCCTCCTCTTCCTCCTCCTCTCCGGCCACGATATCCTCCAAAAGGGAAGGGGGAGCTGCCGGCAGGTGGAAGGGATGGGGGAATGCAGCCCCGGCAGGAATCCCGCAGGGGGGAGGGCTCGGCGAAATAATAACAATAATAATGATAATGACAACAATGATAACAAAACCACGCCGGGAGCGAGTGGGGGGGAGCGGGGAGGACGCGGCGCTGTGCCGCACTGAGCCGCCTCCCGCACTGCCCGGCACAGCCCGACCGCGGCCCCCACGCTCCCCATCCCGGGATGGGACGGACGGCACAAGGCCCGGACAGACCGACAGCCAGAGGGACAGCAGGAGGGACGGACGGACGGAGGACTGCGGGCGGGGGCAGCGCGGCGGTCTGGCAACTCTCCCCGCAGCGCTCCCCCTCCACCCCGCCCCGCTCTTCCCAAGTGCTTTTTGCGCTTTGATTTGTTGCTTTCTCCTCGCGTCGCCCCGTGATCCCCCCGCCTCGCCCCGCTATCCCCACCCGAGATGCGGCTCCGTGCCCCCCTGCGCTGCCCTCCCCTTCCTCCGATCCCCCCCTCCCTCCCTCCGCTGCCCTCTCCCCCGCTCCTCTCCCCGCTCTCTCCTCCGCCTCCCGCTCCCTCAATCTCTCTCCTGCCTCCCCCCCACCTCTCCCCTTTCTTTTTCCCCCCCTTTCTCATCTCCCCTCCCTCCATCCCCATTTCTCACTTCGCCAGGGCAGAGCGCGGTGACGCCGCCGCCGCCGCCGCCACCACGGAGAGGACGCAGGACCCTCCCTTGGGCCCCCCGTGCCCTTTCGACGGGGCGGCCTGGGCCCCCCGGCCACCCCCGGGCCCCCAGCAGGGCTGCTTCGCATGCATCGCCAAGCCCCCGGCCCTCCGGCACGCCTCGCCCGTCCTCTCGCCCTCCTCCGCCGCGCAGCTGATGGAAAGCAAGGGCTGCAAAGGGGACAGCCTGCGGCCGGCGGGCCCGTGCAAGCACTCGGTGGAGAAGAAGACCATGACCAACCCCACCACCGTCATCGAGATCTACCCCGACACCAGCGAGGTGAACGACTACTATCTCTGGTCCATCTTCAACTTCGTATACCTCAACTTCTGCTGCCTCGGCTTCATCGCTTTGGCCTATTCACTGAAAGTGAGTGCTGAGCGCCAGGGGGAGCGCTTTGGGGCCGGGGGTAACACATCCGTGGCACCTCAGCGGGAGGTTGCACCATCAGCTGTGGGGATGGGGATGGAGACGGGGAGGTGGCGACGTGGTTTGGAGCTGGGGGCGTTGTTTGGTGGAGAAGGGGCACTTGGACCAAAGGCACCTTCCCAATGACACATACCACACGGCATCCTGCACTCTGGCACTCGGTCACTTCTTTGGGGCAGGCAGGGACCTGGTAGGATGAGATGCAGCAGCACTGCGCCGTGGGGCAGGAGCCGTAGGTGCCATCGGGCAGCACTACTGGTCAGGTCGCAGTGGGAAGAGGTTGCCAGCACAGGGTAATGCTGCCTCTTTTCTTCTTGTCCTATGTCCCACTAAAATCCCCAAAAGATGAAAGCTGTGAGGGGAGCAGCACAGCTGGGATGTGAGATTCAGCACTGGAGCACCCAGGAGCATCTCAGGAGCTGCCGCAGGAAAGGGCCCCGGGCTGCCCTTCCCTTCCTAAAGATGAGCCATACACACCCACAGAGAGCCCACGGCTGCGGGGCAGCCCCTTGTGGGTCACGCTCTGGGTACAGGCAGCCAGCTGACATGCATTGACAGCAGCATTTAGCAGGAGGCCGGCACGCAGCCCAGCTTCGTCATAGAAGCAGATCAATGAACCCCAGGCAGCACCAGACAGGGAGTACTGGGCAGCCCTGAGCTCAGCTTGCACTAACCCCCTCCCTCAGTTTCCCTTCTCTGAGGTTGGGGTTGTTCCTGTGCAGGAAAGACAGAGTTAAGGTTTCGCATCTTCAGGGCACCACGTAGCTACACCAGGTCTCCCTGCGGTCCCTGTGCTGCAAGCAGCAGTGGGGTCGAGACCTGCCTGAGCCATCCTGTGAACCAGGGGGTAGGAGAGATCCCCTGGAGGTCTGTGATAGCCGTGGCTCCTTGCCTGAGGGGAACACACAGTCCTCAGAAACAAATTAGAGTGTGGTGGGTGCTGCCCAAGGCTGGGCTGGGTGCTGGGACAGGAGAGGGACAGAACGGGGTCACTGCGGCAGTAGTGGCAGTAGGTCTGGGCTGAGAGGAGCATTGGGATGCTTTGTGCCCTGAGCCCACAGGTGTCTCTGCAGGCACCCCAGCATGTGGTAGCACTTTCAGCAGCTTCAGCATGCTCTGATAGCAGGTGCACATCTCAGTACTGAGCTGGTGTGGGGCCTCAGGGTGCCTGTGCTGCTGCCTGGGACCTGCCTGGAGTCCTTCAAAAAGATGCCAAAGAAGCTCACCAAGGTATTTAAGCTCTTACACAAAGAGATATATGAAGTCAAGTGGAGTGAAGGCAATGCTATCCCAGCCAGGTGCTCCACATGACCCATCAGGAGCTCTGGGTGATACCATGCTGCACACCTCTCTGTTTCTCCTATAGTGGGACAGGTGCTTGGCAGCCGTGGTTCTCAGATTATATCCCTTGGGGCTGTTTCTGCACCTCAAGGTCAGTGCAGTGGAGCAGGAGTGTTGTGCCAACTCAGAGCTGTGTGCACTGGGCTGGGGCAGAGATGAACGGCAGCACCGAGGGAGATGGAGCTCTTGGATCACCTCCCTGCAGGCCCAGGGCCACTCCAGCACTCTGGGTTCCTTCCCTTTGATCAGAAGGCACTGCTGCAGCTCTCCTGTGTCGTGGCTCTGTGGGCTGCCCCCCTTCCCAGCTCCCAGCAGTAATGAATGGTGCATTAGAGCACAGTGTCAGGAGCTCCTGCTCTGGAGTTCTATCTCTAGAGAGCACCGAGGGAAGCCAACAGCTCTCTGGGCACCAATTAGGCAACGAGGCAGGAGCTGGGATAAGCTTCACTGCTGGAGCTGTGCTTGGACTGCATAGACTTCAAGGCAGCAAGGCTCTCCAGTGGCATTTGGAGCCCATCCGGCAGCCCGTGTGGCTGCTCTCAGAGCTTTGCAGCCAGCAAGGCATGAGACACATGGGTGATACGATGGCTGGATTTGCTCCCGGCTGATCTGTGGAGCAAATAAACCCCAGGATTCGCTCCAGAGCAAAAAGCTCCTTACGTGCAGGGAAGCAGAGCGCTGTGTGGGAAATGGGTTTACAGCCAAACCAGCCTCTTCCCAAAGCGTGCCTCCACCAGCTGCAGGCTGAATACTGAGCGCAGGCTGCCTTCAGCATGGCCTCATTAGAGTCGTTATCAACAAACCATTTGTCTCCTTGGGAAAGCTGACACAGCACTGGTACCCACCCGCAAACGCCTGCTCCTGAGTGAGGGCTGAGCCTGAAAGCTGAGATGGGAGGTGGGAAAGGAATGGGAAGTGTGGGGATGGAACGAGGAGACGGCACGTAGAATTGGTGGAAGAGGAATGGAGGAAGGTGAATGAGTGATGGGGCTGAAGGAGGGGAAGGGAGTTTATTTGAATGGGGTGGATCTTCAGCACAGCCCTCGTGCAGTGCTTTGGGGAAACTCCCCACTCAGCAGATGTGGGATAACCACCCTCACCTATGAGCTATCTCCATGGGAAGGAGAGCCAGGATCCCAGGATAACTTCAGGCAAGGTGGGGAGGATCAAAGTGAAGATGATAAGAAAATTGTGTGGGACTGAGACAGCACCTGATCTGGGGTCAGGGTGTTCACATGGCCCTGGGGACCTGTCCTCACTTTGGGAAGGAAGGAGACAGCTTCCAGGCCCAGACCACAAGCAGTCTGGAGCAGGAAACACCTTTTCATTATGCTTGTGTGCCGCAGGGACTCCATCACTCACCTGGAACTCACAGACAATGTAAATGATAGTGGCCAATATGGGATATTTGCATAAGGATGACAGCTGAAGTCATAAGGTGTGTGGGAAAATAATAAGGGAGGAGAGGAAAGGACCACACCAAAGGGCTTGGTGAGAATGAGAGATGCACACAACCAAGGAGGCTGGGGGCAAAGCTAAGGGCAAGAGAAAAGACATGGGCTGCAGGTGATGGAGAACATGGGGAGAGCACCACTTCCTGTGGGGTCTGCAGGAGCTGGTGGATGGGAAAAGGAGACACCAGGGGCCCATCAGGAGGGGGAAGGAGCCCAAAGCAAGGTTAAACTGGGGGCATTGCCAGGAAGGGAAGGGAAAGGGAAATGGAGGGGCCAGGGAGAAGGTAAGACGTTGAGAGATGGTGTGTGGCATGGGAAAGAATGAAAGGTGGGAGCACGAGGAGCGAGATGGGAGAGAGTCCCAGGGAAGGGAGGAGCAGACGGTGAGATGGCAGGGAGATCTCAGGGCAGGAGGACCTGGTCCCACTAGGGCACAGCAAGCAGAAGGGTGCAGAGCCCAGAGCACCAGCCTCACTGGTCTGCAGGGGTCGGGATCCTCATCATGATGAAGTCATCATTCCTGGAGGTGTTCAAGAGCTGTGTGGATGTAGCACTGAGGGATGTGGCTCAGTGGGCATGGTGGGGATAGGTTGAGGGTTGGACTTGGTGATCTCAATGGTCTTTTCCAACCTTAATCGTTCTGTGATTCTATGAAGAGGAGGATGCCCTGGGGCTGCCCTTCACCTCAAGGTGCCCACTCCAGCAAACTGGAGCTTCGCATCTCTCCAGGCTTTTGGGAGGATGCAAAACCCACAGAACCATTCCTGAGGTGAGCCATCCTGGGCAGAGAGCTACCACAAAGGGCAGCAGGATTGCCACCTTCGCTAAGGTCATCTCCCATCCAGGCAGGCCACCAAGCCAAGCACAGTATGTGATGGCCAACAACATGATATTGAGCTGGGACTCCCCTGGCATCCACTCAGTGCCAAGACACAGAGAAAAGTCTTCTGCCACTGCCTGCCTGCTGTGCAGGTCCTTGTGCATTCGGCTGGCCCCACTGCCGCTGGCTGTGCTCAGAGCCTTGCAGGAAGGGCAGCACATTGGTGTGGAGCTACACGGCCCAGAAGGACAGAGGGGTCCAGCAGCCTGTCCCTGTACCGGGCAAGTGGCATCAAGCTTCCAGGAGAGCACTGCAGGAGGAAGAGAGAAAAAAAAAAAGTGGCTGAGACGTGGGCTGAATGCGGCACAGGATGTTTGCAGAAAGCTCCTGGTCGATAAGAAGCTTTTTATGTTTCTAGGAGGACTCTGAGGCTGCTGCAGGATTTCACAGCCTGCCACCGACACCTAGCGTTCAGCCAGCAGCACCTTGCTCGTGATAGCAAGCACGGGGGGGTGGGAGGGGGAAAGAGAGGGGGAGCGGGAGCGCAGCCCCAGAGCCCTGTGGCACTGAGCGAGCAGCACCGCACACGCTGCGCCATCCCAAGGGTGCTGCCAACACGATGTGGGAAACCGGGCAGAATTCTTTGGTGCCACGTCTTCTGTGCTCCGGGAGCTGAGTGCCATCTGCGAGAGGTCTGGCGGCGGGGATGTGGCCGTGCTGGAAAGGAATGGAGCGCATTCCAGGGGTGAGCATCGCCATCCCTGCCTGGTGATGCCACCTGTTGCCTGGCGATGCCATCCAGGGCTTGGTGAGGCCATCTATCATCCAGCGATGCCTTCCGCTGTCCGGCAGTGCCACCTGCTGCCTGCTCATGTCATCGCTACTCCTGGCAGCCTGGAGGAGGTGGGGACGAGCAGGTGACACGGACGCGGGAAGCCCATGGTTGTCCTAGTCTGTAGGATAACAAGCACAGCACCCGTGCTGTAAGGTTCAGAGTATGGTTACGGTTGAAAGGGACCCTTAAAAGTCATCTGGTCTAACTCCCCTGCAGTGAACGGGGAAACCTACAGCTCCATCAGGCGCTCAGAGCCCTGTCCAGCCTGACCTTGAATGATTCTAAGGATGAGGCATTGCACCTGCAACCTGTTCCAAGCTGGGAAGTGCCCTATGGTGCCTTGCTCCAGCTGGTGCAAACCCCAGAGCTGCCAGGATGTCATGGCATGATGGGAGGGTCCATCAGCACCCAGATCTCTCTCATTATTATTTTTATTACATCATTTTATTACACAGTATCACAGTACATCTCCCAATTAATTTTGTTTTTCTGCCTCAGGTCCGGGATAAGAAACTCCTCAATGACTTAAATGGCGCAGTGGAAGATGCCAAGACAGCCCGGCTTTTTAACATCACCAGCTCAGCCCTTGCCACCTTCTGCATCATCCTCATCTTCATCTTCCTGCGGTACCCCCTCACTGATTACTAGCAGGAGGCCAACAGCAGCGCCGCCGCCAAGATGCCTCTATGCCAGAAGTGTCTGCAGTTGTTTCCTGTAGCAAGGACACGAGAGTAAAACAACTCCACCGTGATGGCAAAAAAATATATATATAATAATAAAAATTAAAAAAAAAAAAGTAAATACAGAAATAAAAAATAAATGAGTTTATCAGCCCGGACAAGCGTACTCTTCCTGCTCCTAAACAGTATGTGGGCTGCTGTAGGAAAGGTTTTCACTTTTGCAATTATACAGGAAGGAAAAGAGACCAGGAAGATCTTACTTCATGGCAAATGGAGCTGCGTAATGTGAGTGTGCAAAGCTGAGAGCTAAATGTGTGGCCAGATGCATGGCCATAGAGGCCTTTGGGCTACAAGACAGGGCTGGGAGGAAGGCGGCATGCCCAAGGTCAATGGGATGGCCAAGGCTCAGAGCATATCAGATGCTTTCAAACCGCCCACTGCCCCACAACGTTCTGTTGTTTTCCTTCTGTGATGCAGTTCTACTGAATTTAATTCATGGGTTGAGATAACCATCCCGGAGGGCTGAGTGTTAGGCTGTTGGTGTTAGAGAGCCCCAATGCCTCCAGATCAACCCCAGTGCATTAAAGGGCAAATTTCTCCTTGGGATCACCCAGCAGTGTTGAGGACAAAGGCATCTCCTGGAGAACTCCATGTGCTCTGTGAACCAAGTGCTACTGTATTTCTGTAACACGGTCAATAAAGATACCTCTGATATCTGCTGCTGCTGGGTCAATTATCGTAGCATCATCGAATCATTAAAGGCTGGAAAAGACCTCTAAGATTACCAAGTCCACCCACAACCCATCCCCACCATGCCCACTGGCCACGTCCCTCAGTGCCACTGTTCTTGAACACCCCTAGGGATGGTGACCCCTGTTCCTCAGGTTGGTCTCCCCTCTTTTTGCACAAAGACTGAAAGGATGGACAACGCTGCATGCTAGGGAAGGGACAGGATGAATCACCCACATTCAATGTGCTGCTTAAAAAAACACCTTGTATCTCTTGAGTTTTTAAGATGAGAGAGCTGAGGGGAAGCTACATATCCCTGAGCCCTTGAGATATGCCAGTCTTCAGGGATGGCTGAAGAGACAGGGCAAAGAAGCAGAGAGTCGCAGCTCACGGGCAGGAGGCAATGCCTGTGTCCCCGGCGGCTGCTTAAGGGAGTGTCAGGCAGGGATGAGGGATGCAGGAGGACGTGTGCCAGGTTGGAGAGCCAGGACTGCGCTGACCCCTGCAATGCTCAATCACCGTCAGGCAGAGCCAAGACGGCCAGGAGGCAGGCTCCCCCCGCTGGTGGTACAAGAATGAAGAGCTGTAGTCTGAACCTTTGGTCCCCCAGGCTGCGTGAAACGTCAGCTCTGTGCCATCAGCCCCAGGTCATAGCGTGAACAAATGGTCAGGCCTGGGATAAAATACAGCTCCCTCACCTCTTATCTAATTGCATATTCTGCAGCTGTCCCATCCTTTTCAGGTGTAAAACGAGCTCCTCAGCACACGGCAATGCCTGCTCTGTTTCTCTTCTCTTCACTGAGACTTTTTCAGCCTCGTACACCGGGAGGAGGCAACAGCATACATTCCAGAGGAGAAGTGTGGGACGAGGTGATGCAGCATGTCAGCAGCAGGACAGTGCCCTCAGGGACACCAGCGCTGCCCAGAGCTCCTCTGGGCTTCACCTGTGGGCAAAGAGATGGGCTTTTGCCTTGACCTCTTAAAGTCCAACAAGGTGAAGGGCAGAGTCCTTGAGCTTTAACCTGGTGATTGTCTCACAGGTGGTTTTGTATGTGGAGAGCCCTGGTTTGGCACACAGGAGCAGGGTTGCTGAGATAAAGCCAGAGCTGAAACAAAGCTGGATGCGACCCAGAGCCATCCCCCCTGCCTCTAACGAGTGTGACAAATGAGTGCCATCATCTCTTCCCCCACGGGCCGCCCCAGTCAAGGGAGGGCGGTTGCTGCTGTAATGAACCAGGGGAATATTGCACTGACGCTGCAGCATTTTTCATGCATCACCTGCCAGGGATGGACAGGCTGGGCTATTATTAGCACCACCATGCTTGTTATTTGCTGCCAGGAACACCCACGTTGGGTGAGGCATCTCCGTGTGAACGCCGCAGCAGGGCCGAGGTGCACCAAAACCTGCAGACGGATCGAGCACTCCTCCTTTGTTTCAGCTCAGAGGGAACACGGGAATGAAAAGCAGTTTTTTCAGTGGTGCAGGAACATTCTGGAGAGGGAGAGCTTGCCAAGGCTGCCACCAGCACGGCAGAAGGAAGGATCTGGGGCTGCTGCTCTGCCTTTTCACTTCTGCCGCTCGCAGCTCTGCTGGGCTCACTCCAGCTCACACCTTTTCTTGGCTGTGAAGATGCAGCCTCTGTTGCATTCAGCAGCGGGAGAAACAACTGAACAGAGGGGTGGGAGAGAGGAACCATCAGATGCCTGAAAAGCCTTTCAAATTCAGGAAGGAAGGACGGTTACATTGCCATGTGATGATTTCACTGCACCCCCCAGCAGCACATCAGGAGACCAAGAGGTGGCTCTGGGCACTGTCCTGAAGTCTCTCTATGGGACCTCACAGGGAGAATGGTGCCCTCGTGTGTGAGCAAATGCCACACACTTACGCAAGCCCGGGGCTCAGCGCTGCCACCTCCGCATAAAGGCTGCCGAGCCAGTTTGCAGGCAAATCCCAGCTGGGTTGAACTGGTTTGGATTTCCTCCCAGCGGCAACCGTGACCCCGTGGCTCTTCTACGTCAATGAGTTGACTGCAAGAAATAGGGCAGAAGGGAGAGCAGTGCTGGCACCCAGTTTGGGTAATGACGTTCAGCATTCTCAGCTTCCCACAGGGGTGAGCGAGCAGCCCCTATTTCGCACGAGGCAGTGCTGGAGCCCCGACACCCAAAGTCCTCGTGTGTTCCCTCCAGTGCTGCTCCACTGGGCTTTGTGAGCTGGAGCTGCCCCTTTGCTCAGTGCCACCAGGTCCCGGTTCAGGGTTAGGGTGCAGCTCTGCAGATGCAGGGGAGCAGTGGGGTGCTGGTGGGGCTGCCTGCTGCTCCAGGCAGGATGGATGCTGCACAGTGGGCCCCACAGTGCCCAGCTCGCCATGAGGGGAAGGGTAGGAGGCACAGATGGCAGCAGATGCTCTCATCACTGAAACCGATTTCAGCAGCATAGAAAACAAAACAAAAAACCCTAGCAACTGATGAACAGCTGAACAAAACTCTGCACAGGGGTAGGGAGAAAGAGTCCCGTGCTGAGAGCCCTCAGCCCCGTGCAGAGCTGTCCTCACAGAGCCTCCAGCATCCTGCAGTATGATCGCTCCGTGCCCAGTACAAAGGTCCCGCTCCTCCCATCCCCTGACTTTGACTCATGCTCCGTGCAGAGGGATTTTATTCAGTATGTTTTGCTGTTGTTTCCCCTTTATTCCTCAGGCAGAGCTGCAGAGCTATGGCTGCAGCACACAGCCGATAAATGGCACTGTGCACATCTCCAGCCTCACACTGCCCCACGGCGCTGTCTGCCTCCAGCAGCCGAGCACAGGTTGATACTGAAAGCAGTTCTTTGGGTGTTTGAAACAACAGTGGGGCTGAGGAAAAGCCTCTCCTTCTTGGTGGACTCATTGCTTTGGCAGAAATCTGCTTAGTTTGAGTTTTGCGCTTGGCCTGAGATGGCAATTACAGGTCTTGGAATACATTTGAGTAAAAATTACGATGTGTGCAAGCATACTTTGCATTCAAAACACATTGCTGAGATGCAACCAATCTTCGGGTGTGCCTGGAATATGAGAAAAAGAGAAAAAAAAAAAACCAAAACAAAACCAGAATGAGGCAAATGGGGCAAATTGTCCTTCAAGCGCTTTTAATCCGAAGCAGAGCACCTCCCTCCAGCAAGGAGCGAGCGGCCACAGCATCGCTGCTCGGCACGCAGTGGGGGGGACCCGGCTCCGTCAATGACAACGACCGCACATCTGGTGCCCGGCAGCGCGGCGCTGCTTTGTTCTGCCACCGCGGCATCATCCCGGCCTTCCCCCATCACCTCCCCCGCTAACACCGGGTGCTGCCGGGCCCCTGGGGGCGTACGGGACACCGAGCCCTTCTGTCCACCTCCCCCCTCCTCCCGTTTGCCACCGTGGGAGATGCTCCGTGGGTCGGATCTGACCCCGGGCCGAGACAGCGGTGTGCCAGAGCCGGGTTTGGAGAGAAGCTGCCGAAACGCCTTCCCTTCTAGCACGGCGGATCGACCCCGATGTGCAGGGGTTTCCTGCACCGATCCGCTTCGCACTGATTCTTGCAGCAGGAGAACCGAGGCTCGGGGCCAACAAACCAGCCTCGGTGCTCTCCGAGACCCCGCGCACCTGGAGAGAAGAGAGCTAATTCCGAACACCCGGCATCCGCACGGGTGGCGGGGAGGACGGCTCCCTCGAGTTGACAAGCGCCAACAAAAGCCTAAAGCTCCTAAACGCTAATCCGCCGCTAAAGCCGGAGCCGCGGCAAGGACAGAACGGCGCAGCGGGGCGCGCCAGGTGGGCCAGGTGGGTCACGTGACTCGCTCAGCCCCGCGGGCAGCAGCGCCCTCTGCCCGAGCCGCGGCTCCGCGCCGCTCCGCGCCCGCGGGGTGACGTCACCCTGCTCTGCGCCTCCCGCGCTGATTGGCTGCGGGTGACGTCAACGCTGTCTTTTTTTT